AATGCTCACTCGTGGTGCTCGGAACAGATTTGGCTTTTTTGTACGCTGTGTTTCTGTTAAGTGTTTCCACCCGTTTTTAGGGCAATGAAAATAATGCGGTCGCCATAAAAGATGCGACCGCTGGGGCTCGCGCCCCCGGAATAGTTACTCGATCCAGGTCTGCTCTTGGTGACATAAAAAACAAGGGATTTGCCCTTTCCGGGAAAGAAAATCAAGCGGGCGATCTAAAGAAAACGTCTGTAATCCCGTTAAGTATGCTTCCTTTTTCTTATTTCTTTTCAGAGACTCATGACATTTGCGGTGCGGACACTGCTGTTGTTGCTAAGACCGACGTATGCGCTGAGCCACAACGCCCAAACATCGCAGATGTTTTCCGCGCTGGGCGTCTTAAGATCAGATACCAGCTTCTATCTTCCAGCTCCGGTAAAAAGTTCCTCATGTGTGAAAATGAGGATTTCGGTGATACCGCAACAGTCTATCCCTATGCAGAGTGCATTTTCAATTATCTACAGGATCGGGAGCTTCTTATTCAGCCTATGCGTCCCGAGTTTATTAACCCAGCAAGCGAGGTCAACCCCCGTATGCGGTATATCCTAATAAACTGGCTGGTACAAATACACCAGAACTACAAGCTTCAACCCGAAACCTTGTACCTCTGTGTAGCTCTCCTTGATCGCTATCTTTTGGTAAGCCTTGTTCATGACGAGCTCTATCTGCTGCAGAAACACAGCAAGGAACTGGCCAAAGATTGTTTTCAATTAGTCGGATTGGCCTCACTATTTATCGCCGCGAAGTTCGAGGAGATGTACCCTCCGGATATAAGCGACTTCACCGCAGTTACGCAAAACTCTTTTAGCAAAAACGATATTAGAAACTGTGAAAAAAACATTTTGAACTCTATTGATTTCTACTTATCTATTCCTATCCCGTTGGTCTATCTCCGCCGGTTGTCTAGAGCAGTCGATGTAAGCACTGTTCTACTTTATTGATATACTAGGCCGATCGTACGATTCACAACTTAGCAAAGTATTTTTTGGAGCTCACAATCCAGGAGTACGATTTGGCGCATCTAACAGGCAACTTGCGAGCCGTTACAGCTTTGTGTCTGTCTCGGGCATTGTGCTTCCAAACCTCTGATCTCGAAGAATCATGGTGTGATATGATGTCCTACCTTAGTGGCTACACACTTGATGACATACGGGAACCACTGAAGGTGTTGGCGAGGGCAGCCTATCGCCAGAATTCTCCATCTAAATATCGAGTCAGTTTTCATATTTTATGCTGTTATCTTTTAGGCCATTTTTGACAAATATCGGTTGGACGATTTCTATGGTCGTGTTGCGGCCTTACCACAGCTACGTTCTAGCCTGATGGAAACTCTCGCTGACTTAAAGTTCGACAGTGATGGTGAGCTCAATCCGGCATGATTACTTCACTACCGTACAAAATACTGTCACTCTTCAACAGCCAATGGCTTGATTCGTTCTCATCTGTATTCGTGTATCAATGACAATTGGGTCATTTTCTTCCTATTTTAGTTACAGCTGGGATAAGAGATTTTTTAATCTCATGTCAAAATTAATTCAGCATGTCTTTTATTGTAATCCTTCCGTCCATCTAATTTCAATATGAACGATTTTTACGACCCTGCACACCTATTTCTGGTTTCGCTTCATGTGTCCCGAGCGTTTCCAACGATAGGGCCTTGATAGACCGAACGATATACACGTCCGCTTTCTTTAACAAGACTAGATCTTAACGTGATACAGCGATTTGCTTACTTCTTTGATCCATTGTGTTATATTGGTGGTGCCCTATCGTGGCTAACCGTTATTCATATGATACCCACTTAGGTAAAAATGTATATTGCAAACCAAAACGTGCTGATACTAATGATCTCCCTTATCCTCTCCCTGTTTTCCTTATATTCATCCCGACCACCTTTAAGATTGTTGCCGACCCGTAGCCTAAAAGTAACAAGCTTGTCTTGTAATCTGGGAGCACGTGTTCGAGCTTGCGTAAGGGCAGGCCGACCGTCGCAGTATCCTTAGCCCAAGTGCAACTGGTGGCGATTGCGCTGCGGCAAAGCATGGGTACGGCATACTCCTAATGTTAATCTTCTTTCCCTAACCCCTAGCGTAACTCGGCAGCTCTCTTACAACTGGAATCTGGTCTTCCGCAGCTGAGTTCCAACATTGTCAAATGGGCTCCAACCGTCAACAGCCCTTCATCTGGCCACGCTGCCATATTTCTCGGATGGCGTCCAATCTTAGTTGTCTAAGATATGTCAAAGGGCCGCACTCACGTGCTGTGCCTCTAAGGCCAGGACGCGTGGCCTTCACACGATTCTTGAACCGGCTTTGCCCAACTTGTCCTTTTACTATTCTTTTTGCTCATCTGGAGACGCCCATGCGGCAACTTCATGTCTCGCTCGGGTGAACATCGCTTTCAACTCTAGGGTTAAGTCATCGCTAGTTGATTGGATTCTCATAATCAGTCGTGTGCAACGCGTTTGACGACGTCAGTTAGGGTCAGCTCACCTCACCATAAGCTTCGAAGGGCTTCTTCCACTTTTCATTTTTGCTCATTTTGTACTGTACTCGTCGGTTCTTACCATAACCTGATTTATGACGGTCTTCCAGAAAATTCACCAGGGGTTGTACTAGACCCTTTTCTTGGCTGTCAACCAAGAAGTTATCTCTGGCCCGTAACATGTAAACCTGCTAGGTTCACTGCATTTGGCGTTTCCATCTCATTACCCTAAAGTCATCCAGCTTCAGTGGATTAGTATCTGCTGTTATACACGATGCAGGAGCCCCCTCTTGCGGCACTGTCGGTCGTCATCGCACTAGTCACTAAATATCCGTGAGCTTGGGTAATCTGTTGGGATCCGACAAAAACTCCTTGCTGCCACCAGCAGTGATACAACTAAACAGGCCATTACGCGCGACACGGAAGCATGGTAAACCCATGAGGTCTAAGAGGTGATCGCCGCAGACCTTCAGCGAGTCCACACCAATGGTCCCGATAACTGATGAGTCAGCGAAACAATCAGGGATATCTCCGGCGCACTAAACAACTGTAATACTAGTCATCTCAATTGGCCCCGTCGTCCTCGTTTTACTCAAGTGATACAAGCTGGACCATGGCTGGCTTGCTTTGAGCTTGCGATTCAATGCACGATCACAAACTTCGGTCTTTTTCATTGACGTTTCAGAACGTTAGTTAACCTGTTTCAGCAAGTATGCAAGAGACAGTCTTGATCAAGTTGTACGAACGGATCACGGTAGCTACGTTGTCGGATATTTTTCCGGTAACAAGTGGCGTTTTTCAGGACTGCCCCATTTTCCCATTTTTGTTCAACTTCGTCCTGGACTCGATCACGGAGTCTTCCCTTACAGAGTTCTCGTTGCAAACGTTGAGGTGCTGCCTGGTAAAAAGCCGGTTGATTATACGGACGATGTCTTTCTAACCATGTTAGGGTGACCCAAGAAACCTTGAATAACCTATTACAAAACATGCAACTTCAAAGTGTAGTGTTGTCGCAGCACCACCAGCCACTCGGTGACCCTTTAGCGAGAGCACGGATATCGATTTCAAAACAGAGTAGCAGGGAAACCTTTCTTGGTACAGAAAAGGTTTCCTGTTTGACTCGCTATAAAAAACGACACCATTGAACGCTGTTAGCTCCAAAAATGCACAGCACCTAAGTTGCTTGCACGTTGCAATCGAAGTGAGCGCCAAGCAAAATGGCAATGCTGAACTCAGCCATCAGTTCAACAATCCGCATCGGTCGCTTAGGTGTACAGTGAAATAGTAATTTTACTCAGGTTAGCCGGGGAATCACCGGACCTCCCTCCCGCAGAAGGGACTGTGTAAACACTCCTTTGATCTGCGTGAACACTGTCCGTTGCGGGTCAACCTTCTGCGAGACCAGTTTGTGAAACCTGACGCAGCTGCTGTGGGAGAAACATCATCATTATCAGTACACGTTAGCTGAGGGTGAGGAACACACCTCAGCTAATGTGCCGCAATACCAAACGATAACATTAAAAAATTGCATTACAACAGATATGATGTTAACTATTATATCTTGCGTTTTGCATGAGATCGGGATTGGAGAGTGAACCTAAATGGAGGGGTATGCACAAAGAAACTCAACACAAATGCCACTGGGGCCGGCTGCTAGCCACATCGGCAAGTATGTTCAACCAAACGTGTTCATCCTCATTAGAACCCCAGCTAGGCAGTCGGGATGCACCAACCGACTCCAACTACGAAGTGAGGGTTTTCATCTTTCTTGACCAAGCCATCGCTTGGCTTCCCCTCCTCCTCTTCCAAGCGCACTCCCGGCACGCAGACAATGCACGTCGCGGGAGTCGGTGTGCTGACATGCGCAACACGTGGCCCAACCATTGGAGTCTGGTGCGTGATATAATGGTGCTGAGCGGTTCACTCGCTCTCCCTGCATCAAATACGCGACGCCGAACACGCTCATTGCTCACGCGGTGCTCCCACCAGACATGAGCTAAGCTGCGAAGGCAGCGGTGATCGAATATGATGAGCCTCTTTATGTCTGTCGACCTGATAGACCAGGTTTCACAACCATATAGGAGAGTTGAACGGACGGCTGCGTTGTTAACTCTGCCCTTCAGGGCGAGAGTAATGTCGCGTCTGCGCCACAGGTGGCAGAGATTGGCAAAAGCACCTCGAGCTTTTGCTATACGGTTGGTAACCTCATATTCAATCACACGGGCGCTAATATAGATGCCCAGGTAATCGAATTCCTGAACGACTTCTAGCTGCTCACCACCAAGCGTTAGCGCAGGGTTGGGTCCCTGCCAATCTTGGAGAAGTACTTTGCATTTCGATAGAGCAAAGCATAGCCCAAAACGATAGACAGCCAGTGCTAATCGGTCCAGTGCTGTTTGGCCTGATTATGATCTGTCACAGATTAAGGCAATATCGTCCGTATGCTCCAAGTCAAAAAGTCGCTCACCGGGAAGTAGCTCAACGCCTAGGTCGTGTCAAACGAATGCTGTTTTCATGACTTTGTTAACTGCGAAGTTAAATAGAAAAAGTGACAGCGAGCAGCTTTGTATCACACCGCTGGTGATACTAAAGCGTGGCGACAGTTTGCCATAAACCCTCACTTTGCCCAAACTATGCGCGTACAGCGCTTTGATAGTGTTTACATATTTATCAGCCACACTTTTCCTCAGCAGACAGTCCCAAAGGGCATATCAATCAATTTAATCGAAGACACCTTTTACGTCAAGAAACACAACAGTGGGTCCCCAATAAATATGATGCTCCAACAATTGACGCATGGTGACGATGTGGTCGATTCAGCCCCGGCCTCGACGAAACCCTGCTTGCTCTTCACGGATCTGACTTTCACGAGTGCCAGTCAGTCTGTGAAGGATGACAGACGCAAGCAATTTGGAGGCACTTGAGATCAGACTGATCCCTCTATGATTATCGTATTCCGAACGGGAGCCTCCCTTGAAAATTGCGACAATGACGGAGCGGCTCCAGGCTGTCGGGACATTCTCCTGCTTCCAAAGTTTCACTAGCAACTCGTGTAAATCATCTATTAGAGCAGATCTCCCGAAATTGAAGAGGGCTGCGGGAATTCTATCTGACCTTGCTGCCTTATACAATTTCAACAACCTGGTCTCGCGTTCGACTTCTGCGCATGAGGGCGGATCCAAGGAGACGGCACAGGGAGAA